GTGCTGGAAGTGAAAAGCTAACATAGAAGGAGCGCTTTTTATGGGCTGGTTATTGAGCTAAGCCTTTAATAAGAGTTGATTTAATCTTTAAAAACTTATATGTATTACTTTAAGTTCATAGATAAGGAGAAGGAGCCCAAAGAGTTAAATGACATGCCCAAGGAGGCAGAGCTAGTAAGTCATGGAGCCAGGATGCAAAAGTGTTAGGTCCTTAACTAGGTTTTGTTCTCAAAACTGTATCTGATATGTGATTCTTGTGTGTATCTAATGTGTATGAGTTTTAAAAAAATAATACGGGTTTGTGAATTCTGCTCTGGGCAGGGAGGTGGTGTGGGGGGGTTGGGGAGGGTTTGAGGAATCTCTGTAGTTAGCTGGCGGCTCTGTTGGGGTGGGTTGGTTTAGGATGGCTTCACTCATGTGTTTGGTGGGGTAATGTGGACGACCTGACGACATCTCTCTCAGCCGTCAGGCTTCTACAGCTCATTCACATGGAAGTGGCTAGCTGTAGTGCTTCCAAAAGCAGCAGAAAGGAAGACGGAATGCACAAGCACTTTTCAAGGCTTTGCTTGAATGGTGTTTACATCTTATTGTCCAAAGCAAGTCATAGGACAAATGTAAATTGGAAGGTGGAGCAGCAAAGTGACATTGGAAAGAAGTGTGGAAACGAAAATAGGAAAAAACTACAGTCATTTTTATAAATTCATTAAGAGGAATTCTGGCACTAGCTGTTGAAAATAAAGTTTTCATGCTATAAATGATAAATTATCTTAGGTTTTCCAGCAAATAGTATCTACATTATCCTACACTATGAAGGAAATAGATTGGCTATCACAAACTTTCAGAAGTTCCTCTTGTCACAGGATTTTAAAAAAATTAAGCGTTTACATTTTTTAGAAGGTTGAAGTATATGAGTTATTCTGATAATGTCCACTTATTTTCATAGTTTTTTATTCCATTATTTTTATCCTATTATTTTCCAAACTTATTCTAATTATACAGGTAAGACATGGCCATTGAATAAATATTGGAAAACATTGAAAATGTAAAGGAACAATTTAATCAATCCTAAGTCCTCTTAATACTCACTTTTAATATTTTTAATGAAAATTCCTTCCAGTATTCTTTCCATATTTTTTCTTTACCAACATATCAAATATTTCTTTAGACTTTATCACTGATTTTATGACCTTTTTTTCAAGTCGAAACATTTTAATCATTTGAATTTTAATGGGGAGGGTATTTTATTATAATTTGTGCTTAAACTGTTATTTGCAATCCGAGTAATTTGAATTTTTATATCTAATGTTATGACAGGGTAATAATATCAAAGTATTAATAATGGTATTTAATTTCATGAAATTCTTTTATCTAAGAAATGTAATAATTTAAAATGATATTTTCTAGTGGTAATGTGAATTGGTGATGAAAAACAGGAACTTTAAAGCCTAAGTTAAAATCTAGTGAAATAAGCAAGAAGGAAAGTTTCAATGTGGTGGCTGACAGTGTTATGCCTACATTGAATTTGAAAGCAAAGATGTATGGACCCTAAGGAAGACACCTACCAGGAAGAGCTCCTGGTTGCTAACCAGGCTAAAATTAAAAAAAGATAAAACAGCCTAAGACCTGTTTCCAAAACCATGCCAAGTTTTGAAAAGAAACCTATACAATATCGCCCGCTTGCACTGAATTCATGCCGCCTGAGCGAGTCTTTGTAAAGGAGTTCCTAGAATCCTATTTCACCCAATAGGACTGAGACTTTGTCCGTCCAATTAAAGCTGCCAACTGTATCCCTGACTAATCAGAACAGATCCATTCTGACCAATCAAGGCAGTACATTTGGACCAATCGAATTGTGAGGATTTGGAATCCTCATTTGCATGAGGCTGGACCAATCAGGGCTCTGGGTCAGAGCCTCCTTTCTGTATAAGTCAGCCGCTGGAGTAGGGTACCGCTATTTTCTTGTTTTGGGGTATTGTGTTTCTTGTGCTGGAACTGAAGGGATTTCAGTGGAGTAGTTTGGGGCCCCGTTGTGCGAAACAGCTGTTAAGTTGCTAGTCACTTCGTCCCAGGTTGCCTCTTTGCTATAGCCATGCTGCCTCGTAATTGGGCTTAACACCTTTGAGCTGTGCCATAGCTGTGCTGTTCTCACAGCAGTGTTGTATCACAATTGAGCTTTCTCTAGTAAATTTGCTCGTTCACGGAACTAAATTGGGGCTGGCATTGAATTGGCATTAACGACCACGTGGTGAAAAATGAAAAAAAGCTTGAAAATTGGCATTATGATGTTTAGTTGTAAAGTCGAACATTTGAGTGCTTGTATGCAAGGAAATCCACTCCAAGGCATATACTAAAGACAATGTTTAGCACTTGTGATCAGGAAACATATACTAGTAACTACAGCAGCACTTTTTCCATTAGGAAAAAATAAAACGCCTGGAACTTTCAACTGCCCCCACCATTTCCGTGATCTTGGTCCGCAGCCTGGGAGTCCTCTTCAAGGTGAGTGTCAGGCACTGTCCTATAACTCCCATCCGTTAGGTCTGGTAAAACACAAAACCACTCCTCAAGGTTTCGGCCTCACTTGCTGAAAAGCCCAGACGCCCCGCCTCCTCTGCGCAAAACCCACCCCCGCGGGAAGTCCCACCCGGGAGCGCCGAGGGGCGAGGTCGGGAGGAGTAAGAGGGCGGAGGCGTGTGGCCTGTGGCGCGTGGCGCGTTTTCCTGAGTCCTGTTGCAGGAACTGTCCAAGGCCTTGAAAGGGGATTTTTTTTAACTTTCTGCTAATGAGCGCCAGGCTGTGGTTCATTCCAGCCCCGCCCAGTAGAAATCTAGGTGGGCAACGCCCACCTCGGAAAGTCCTCCGACTTCCGTCCTCCTCAGCGGCTCTGGACCACAACCCCCAGAAGGCCTCGGGGCTCAGCCATCTGACTTGCGCAGTACAGTTCGTTGTAAAGTGCTATGACAACAGGGCGAAGATGGCTTGGAGTTAGGCAGGAGTCGGGAGGTGGCCCTTCCACCGTTGCTGTCCTTTTTCTGCTACATCCCCATCACTGCCTTCTTTACCGTTTCCTCCTCTTTGGGAGCAGCAGGATTCGCCGTTGTTCTCGCCTGCTTGGTCTCTTCCAAGGGATTGATGCCGTTTCCCTTGCTTGTCTACGGGAGTGACAGAGAAGGGATGCAGAGGAGCTCCTTGTGGGGGTCGGTCCAACTCTGTGCAGCTGGTGGTGCTACCTGGTGAGGTGCTCTCTTTGCCCAGGACGTGCAACAAGTTGGAGCAGGGGAACGAGAGGGAGTAGCGAAGTTGCGTTGGTGTTTTCTGTAGTCTCCGTTCTCGCTCTCGGCCGTTCCAGCCCTGGGACCCTGGCAGACAAGGGAAATCTGCGGAAAGAGACTTCGAAGAAAGGTGGGACAGGACCACCTGATTCAGCATCAGGTAAGAAAGTACGGTATTAAACATCGGGCGCATGAATTCCCTGAGTTTTATTTTGTGGGCTAGATCATCTGATGCCATGTAGCGTGGTAGATTTCTTAGGATGTTTGCATTCAAAGCAAAACACAGCACAGCGGCGAGTACAATGTGTGTGAGATCCTGTGATCATTTTCGAGAAAGGGTGATAAGAATTTTTAAAGATTCTACTCAGGAATGTCACCTGGCGTGCAAGCATCCTCCTGTGACCAACAGGTCTTGTGGTTCTCAACCTATGACTGCAGTAGGATGCATATACTAATACCTCCTAATTCCTTCTTGCAAGAGGATTATTGCTTCCCCTTCTCTTTTCACATTGCAGACCTCAGCAGTTTAGATGAACTGAGCTGATTTTATCAGCATTTCCCTTCCCCAGGCAAATAAATCCTGCTGTTAATTTAAATTTCCTTAAGAAGTTCATAGAGTGGTTCCCCCACCCCCCTTTATAATCTCACTTAGAAAATGAAACCACATCTCACACATGCATAGTGTGAAGATGCTGGAGGAAAGCTATGGGTCTTAACTAAAGTCTGCCAGCATTCAGAGAGAGGAGAGAGAGACAGATTGTCTAACTTATGAGAAATATATAAAGAGAATAACTGGTAGATGATTTTTATTTTGTGAATAGAATGAACCATTATTTAGCAGAACTTAAAAAAAGAAACTTTTGAAAATTTTGCAAATAACTTGAGTTATTTATGAGAGTTTAAGGAATTTTTCACTTTGTGTAATTATACGTAATTGTTCTTAAAATACCACTGCATTTATGTTTATGGTACAATTTATTGATGGAAACATTCACTGAGGGGGAAAAAATCCAATATCAGTCGTATATTGATGTTGTAGTAATTTTTAGAGTTTTACCGTTTTGGATATATGTAGCAAGTTTTATTCCTCAGAATAAAGATTCAAATTTTTCTCTAATTATTGAAACATAAAACGTCTCTGCTGATTAACAACAGTTCAGTGAAAGATTACTATCAGTGTTTTGAATGTCTCATTTAAACTTCGGTCCAGAGGGTCAGATGGGCATTTGTAATTTGTTCTTGCTCAGAACACACACCACCACCGCTATTGTTACTTTTAGGTTATTACTGACGTTTATCTGACATTTGTTGACTGCTTCCTATGGGTTGGGTATTGGGCTAAGCAGTTAACATGTTTTAGGTCATTTTATCCTTCCCCCCAGAACAATTGGGAGACTACAGGGTGAGGGACTTGTCTAAGGTCACACAGCTGCAGTGTGGGATCAGAAAGGGAATCCTGGTCTGTGTGAGTTCTGTGCTCTTTGGCCTTTTGTGTCTTATTGCAGATTACAACACAGCCCTTCTCATGTTATTTTCAAAAGCTTTTGTCATCTTTCTTGAACTGGAAGACCTGATTCCTATTTCGTGAAATTTGAGGCAGCCCTAGCATGACTGGAGGAAAGCGTAGTTCCAGACATGAACGACAGCCTTCTAAACCACGTGTTCCTTCCACAGGATTTTTGGGGTTCTCATTGCCAGAGTCATTTTTCTAGCCATCCTTTCGTAGAGCAGGACTAGGCCAACTGGGTGTTAAAACATATATTAATAAAAACTAAATCTGAGTAAACTGATGTGGAAGATAACATGTATATAAATATTAACAAAAAAGTGTCAAGTGATAAGTATGGCAGAGAATTTCTGGAGCTTAGGGGATAGATTATTATAATAAAATAGGAGATAAAGCGTAAGAAATCAATCTTTTGTAGCTATTTATAGGTATGCACCTGTTAAAACCTCAAAATTGTTTTCTAGTCATCCTTTAAAATTTTAATTAAATGTATAAAATACTTTCCTGCAGTTTGAACTTGCAGGGGTTAGAATTATCATAAACGGAGTTACAGATTTTTAGTCTTTGTGGGGTGGCGGCACTTGTTTAGGATTCTGGAGTAGACAGCCTGGGTTTGGGTGTTAGTAGTGACCACTTGGGCAGGTTTCCTAACGTCTCTATATTCTTGGATTTCTGAATAATAGTACCTACAATTTACTTTGTAGTTCTGTTACGAAGATTAAAATAGAACTTACAAAGCACTTAGGACACTGCCTGGGACTTACTAAACAATTAGTAAATTTTAGCTATTATTTTCCTTTTCACTGAAAACCTGATTTTTAGTTTTTGTTTTTCGTTCACTTAAAGACAAAAATCACTGAGGAGCTGGAAATCAACACTGAATGAATAGGAGATAAAATATTAATTCTTGTTTCTTGTTTTTATTCAAGGTAGTTAACTAAAGCAAATAAAAATCAATTTTATACATTTTTTTGTTATTGGAATACTTTTTATTTTTGCAACAGAAAAGCCAGGTTTCATGATGAAAAATACCCTTTTACTGCTGTTCTTCATCTTCCTTCTTCCTTACCTGCCAGTAATTGACCTACGCACTGCTTACCTTTATTTCTTAAAGTCGAGGCCTGTACCTTCCTGACTTGGACAGTGAATTAGCATTTTAGTTAAGTCTGAATTTATAGTCAGTTTTTCTTCTCTCGATGGGGTGGGATGTTCTTCCAGAAGAAAGGGTAGAATTTATTTTGTTAACCTTCTGAATTTAATATGCTATCCTATTTTTCTTCTGATAGAGTGGTAAATGTGCCCAAAATATGGGAGTATCTTACTTTAAAAAAAAGTTAACTTTATTTTGATATTTTTATAATGGGAAATTTTAAACATAAACAAAACATAAAGAATAGTAAAACAACCCCCCATGTATCCAACACCATTTACTCTTTAAAAACAACCGCCCTAATGAAATTCCCATACCATCAATTCACCTATTTAATGTATACAATTCAATCTTTTCTTCTTTTTGTATATTCACACACATGTGCAACTGTCAGTTGCACTGCAGTTTTAGAATGTTTTCATCACTCATAAAGAAATCTTTCATCCTATTAGTCCTACACAATCACTAATTTAATTTGTCTTTATGGATTTGCCTCTTCCGTACATTTTATGTAAACGGCATAATAAAATAAGTGGTCTTTTGTGACTGGCTTCTTTTAGTATAACGTTCCCAAGGTTCATCCATGTTGCAGCGTGTATCAGAGCTTCACTCAAACAGGGACATCCAGCAACTTTAAGTTGTTCAAGAGTTGTTATCAAATCCATCTTTGAAGCCAACGTGGAAAGGAACTCCCTTTTTGAAATCTATTGTCCTGCAGCCTAAGTTGTCAATTTAAAATTCACCAATTTTTAGAAAAGGAAATTAACGGTATGCTAATTTAGCACAGATGAGAGTTTGTATTTTCTTAATTTCTTGGGAGTGGGCAGTATGCCTTTCCCTGCTTCTGCCTTTGAAATCTGAGGCGGGCACTGGGGAAACGCATACTGGGTAACCATCAGCTCAGATCGTTGGTTTTCTCGTTCCATTAACTTTTAAAAGATATAAGTCATTATTGTTTACTAAATTATTGTTCACAGTGGTACCACCTGGGACATGGAACCAATATGCAGGATTTGGACATAATGGAATTTATGTAATTTTGCTATGTATTACCTTATGTTTTGCCCTGGTATGGAAGTCAGTTGGTCTGAAATAATTAAGTTAGCTGTGGTCTTGTGAAGAAAAGCCATTTGTTGGACCTGTGTTTAAAATTAACACTGCCCCCTGCAAAAAAAATTTAAATAAAGCAAAATAAAAATATCCTTCTACTGACCCATGCTTTTTCAATTTTTTGGATATTAAATTGTGGGAAGTGGCAGCTTAATGAGACAGGGATCTGGGAGTTCAGGGAGAGGGTATGCTGAAGCAAGTTTTTGCCATTAGTTGTGAGATTTAGGAAAGTCACGTAATCCCTATGGGCCTTTCTTACAGAATGAGAGGATCAGCTGATTGATGGTTACCTTCCAGCTGTTAAAGTTTTTTTTGATTTGAAAAAACAGGTATCTTTTTCAAGCTTTGGGAAGGTAACTGGTGACAGATGTTCCAGGAAAAAGGAAGAGGGAACCCATGCTGTAAGAAAACATCCACTTAAGCTATCAGGATCAGTTCAACCAGTTCTTTTGAAACTTTAAGGTAGGGGTCCCCAACCCCCAAGGCTGCGGACCAGTACTAGTATGTGGCCTATTAGGAACTGGACCGCACAGCAGGAGGTGAGTGGCTGGGGAGCGAGCAAAGCTTGATCTGTATTTGCAGCCGCTCCCCAGCACTAGCATCACTGCCTCAGCTCCACGTCAGATCATCAGGCATTAGATTCTCATAGGAGCACTGGTCCTTGGTGCCAAACAGGTTGGAAACTGCTGCTTTAAAGTGCATGGGAATCAAATGCAGAGCTGAGATTCTGCATTTCTAGCAAGCTTTTGGGTGATACTGATGATGCTGGTGGTCCAGGGACTACTTTGTGTAGCAAGGAGCTAAACATTGTTGGAAAGGAGGGCTTTCAGAAGCCAGTGAAGTGGTGAGTGATGAAGGAGAAATAGATAGAGCAGGAGAAACAGAAAGGAACTAAATGTTGCCCGTCATAAAATTAATATTTTGTCAGTAGGAATAGATCTTTAATTTTATGAAAGCAGTCCAAGAGAAATTAGTGCTTGATGTAGAACATTTCCATTTACAGACCATGTTGGAGGGTTTTTACCTCTTTATTCTAGGAGGCTGAAAAAATTTGTTTACTAACAAGGGCTTTTAAGGCCATTTTCACATAATAGCTTTTTCACCTGATGCAGTAATGTGTAAATTCAAACTGCAGGTATGTCTCTTCTGGTCACCTATCTAAGCATTTTGATTTTTTATGTATAATTCCATAGCATTGATGGAAAAAATCGTTTCTCTTTCACTATTACTTGGGTGTTTAACATGTTCACTAGTAAGGCCCCTCTGTTCTGGCATGGGGTAAAAGAGACCTCTTCAGATGGTGAGCACATCTTCCCTTCCTATTTTCTCTCCCTGAGCCTCCTTTTGAACCAGCTGACTCAGAATATGTTCAAAGGGTCACTTACTTTTTGGTTAGCCTATTGATTTGTGTCCCTGGCTACGTCTCCAGATGGAGCTGTTGCCCCCAAGTCTTCATTGTTTATGATGTAGCAATAGCATTTCATATAATTGATCACTCTTTTTCTAGATACACTTTTTTCTACTCCCAGAGAGCTCACTCCTGGTTTTCCTTTGGTCTCATTGGATGTTCCTGTTCTGGTTTCTGGCAAATTCCTCCTCTCCCTGACGTCTGACCCCAGAGCCCAGTCCTTCTATCTTGGAAGCTTGTGCCTGGTTTCCTTCAGACTTCCTCCCTACCCCCACTCTATGCAACTTTTCCTTTTCCTGATTATGCTATGTATCCTTTTGCTGTAGTAAATCGTAGCCATGATGATGACTGTATACTGAGTGCTGTGAGTTGTCCTAGTGAATCATTGAGTGGTACTGAATTTGAGTAATACTCTATTCTGGGCTGCAAGAGAATGATGTGTCTTCATTCTGGTAGCCCAACAGTGTGGCGTACTACTATTTTCCAATGTATCTGGAGTACGTACTGAGAATATATGGCATTTATTAAATACTGTTATTTCCCTTTCAAATAAGAAAATCTAATAAAAGTGCAATGAAAATGTTTATTACATTTTTTGAATACTTGCTGCCAGATTCAAAATTTAGTCATCTGGCAACTTGTATGGTTATATAGTGCCATTAATAATGTTTTTTAGAAACTCTTACATGTATATTAAAACTCATTATAAGTTTATTTATCCTCTATGTATTTTCCCTTTATTTCCATCAACACCTTGCCTTTATTTGACTCATTTCTTTTTTAGCATAAAGACAGGGTGTTGCATGGAATTTTCTTTTTTTTTTCATGTTTCTTTAAACTTGTCATTTTGATATAATTTTATACTCACAAAGAAGTTGCAAAAATAGTGGTTTCCAGTGGTAACGGTACAATCATCAAAACCATTAAATGACATTAATACAATACTATGACTAAACTACAAATTTTACTTCGATTTTATCAGGTTTTATATTACATACATTCTTCTTTTTAGAATATAGTTCTAAGAAATTAAAATTTACCCCATGAAACCACCACCAAAGTCAGGTTACAGATCTTTTCCATTATCCCAAAGAAATTTCCTTATACTAGCCCCCTAAAGTCACACCCTCTCATAACCCTGCATCCAGTGATCAGTTTAATTTTGTTATTTTGAAAATGTTATAGAAATGGAATTATTTAATATGTGACCTTTTGAGATTGGGGGGGTGTGTGTATTTTTTTCACTCAGCATAATGACCTTGAGATCCATTCGAGTTGTTGTTACTTCATTTAAAAAAATTTGCTGTTTTTTTCCATGGTATGAATGTATCATAGTTTAACCATTTATATGTTGAAGGACTTTGTTTTTTTCTTCAGTGTAGGTTTTTAAAAAAATCATAAAAATGGTAAAAACCATAGCAATGGCTAATGTTTATCGAGTGCTTATTATGTGCCAAGTAGTGTGCTGACACTACTGTATTTTTTTTAAAACTTAAAGATTTTATTTTTTAATTATGATAAAATATGTGTAACATAAAATTTACCATCATAACCAATTTTAATTGCACAGTTCAGTAGTGTTAAGTGCATTCACATTTTTGTGCAACTAATCCCTAAAACTTATTTTTGAAAAACTGAAACTATACCATTAAACGAAAACTCCCCATTTCCTCCTCCTTCCAACTCTGACAACTGCCATTCTACTCTAGGAATTTGACTACTCTAGGTACCTCATATAAATGGAACCATAGTATTTGTCCTTGTGCCTGGCTTATTTCACTTAGCACAATGTTCCCAAGGTTCATCCATGTTGTTGTATATGTCATAGTTTCCTTTTTTTTAAGACTGATATTATTTCATTAAATGTATATACCACATTTTGTTTATCTACTCAGCTGTTGATGGACACTGGGTTGCTTCTACATTTGGCTGTTGTGAATAATGCTGCTATGAACTTGAGCGTACATATATCTCTTTGAGAACTTGCTTTCAATTCTCTTGGATATATACCCAGCGATGAAATTTTTGGATCATATGATAATTTTTATTTTTAACTTTTTGAGGAACCAACATACTGTGGCTACACCATTATATAGTCTTACCAACAGTGCAAAGGGTTCCAGTTACTCTACATCCTTGCCAACATTTGTTGTTTTCTGTTTTTTTTTTTTTTTTTGTAAAAGCCATCCTAAAGGGTGTGAGGTCGTATTTCACTTTGGTTTTGATTTACTTTTCCCTACTGTTGAGATGTTGAACATTTTTTCATGGGCTTATTGGCTCTTTGGAGAAATGTCCATTTGAGTCCTTTGCCAATTAAGGAAAAATTGTTTTTGTTGAGTCATACGAGTTCTTTATATGTAGTCTATGTATTAACTCTTTATCAGATACATGATTTGCAGATGTCTTCTCTCATTCCACAGGCTGCCTCCGTTGTCGTCTTTAATCCTCACCACACCATTCTTACCTCGATCTTATAGATGAGGAAGCAGAGTATAGAGAGGTTCGGTAACTTTTGGTAGCCTGCCACTGGTCGCATGGTTAGTATTTGGTGGAGCACGGATTCAGGCTTATACTGATTGCCTCCAGAGTCTGCACTTTTCACCATCACATTATTCTCAAGTAATTTCTCAGCAAATTTTAAGAAAACAAGTGGTCTTGGTTTCTGTGATTAGCCTACGTGGAAGGCCTACTTTGAGAAGCAGATTGATCTACATTTTTTTTTAAGTACAGTTGATCCTCATTATTTGCAGATGATATATTTGTGAGTTTGCTTACTCACTAAAATTTGTTTGTATTTTAAAAATCAATAGTGGTGGTGGTTTTGGGGTTATTCATGGTTATGCGCACAGTGGCAAAAATTTGAGTCACTCGATGCACGTGTTCCCAGCTGATGCCAAACACAGCAGTTCTCTGCCTTCTTATTTCAGCTGTCATACTGTAGACAGATACCCTTTTCATGGTCTATTTAGTGACATATTTTCCACATCTGTGTTTTTTTTCTTTTTTCTTTTGATTTTGCTATTTAAAATGGTCCCTAAATGTAATATTTCTAAGTGCAGGAAGGATGTGTTAGATCAGCTTCCTTCAGATGTGAGTCTTAGTGTTGTTGGCCATTGAGTTCAATGTTAATGAAACAACAATAAATAAAGTATCTTAAATAGAAATACACACACAAGCAAAAGTCATGTCTTGATTTATTGATGAAAACGTTGTGACTAGAGGCCTGCAGCAACCTAACCCTGTATCTCCTCTAGGACCAATAGTTTAGTATTCGCTAGTTCAGTGTTTGCTGTGACCCTTCTGCAGCATGGCTGCTTTGAATAAGGAGGACTGACTGCTTTCCTGATTATTATATAAATCAACGCAGAGTGAGTGAAAGCCTCATTTATGTTGCATAAATGAACTTTGGTAGAGCGCCAGGGTATACGATGTTTGTGTTGTAATTCAGAAGGTCCAATGGGCCTTCATCCATTACATCAGAAGCTCAGTGGTGGGCATGGCTGGTCTGTCCTCATTCTAGACGAGGAGTCAAAGCTCAGAGACATTGTGCAGGTTGCCCGAGGACACGCAGGCAGTTAGTGGTATAAATGGACCTACAAACCAGTTTTCCTGCTTCTTTTTGATGTGAATTTTTATTTTTCATCTTGCTTTTCTATAATTAGAATGGGGAAAGGGAGTGAATGCATTTTTAAAAACCTATAATGGACAGTTCTGGTGTTAGTAATTTGATGCATTTGATCTCATTTGCTCTTCTTAGCAACTTATTGTGACAGGAGATGCCGCAGGCTTTCCAATAACCAAACTGAAGGGACATTAGGTATTTTGCTAAGGAATTATGTACTAATGAGTGCTGGTAGAATTTGAATTTTGATCCTCCAAAGAATATATTTTTAGTTGATTTGTGCAGTTGTCTACTAAATCTCCCAGAAGGGAGAATTGGCCCAACATAAATGTAGAATTTCTCAGCCTGACTTTCCAATGGCATCGCAAAATATCTGATTGTTTCCACCAATCTGGACTTGTGGTTTCACATATATCGACAAAATACAAAAAATTAAAGTTATCTACAGAAGTGTTTTTCTCAAAGTTGTCCAAGTTTAATTTGCTATGCCTTAAGAGATAATTAATTCATAATTCATGGTGTGAAGTGGATTTTTATTATAAATACATTTTTTCTTTTTAGAGTGAACAAAAATGTCTTTATTTAAAGCCCGTGATTGGTGGTCGACTGTTCTGGGAGAAAAAGAAGAATTTGATCAAGGCTGTTTGTGTTTGGCTGATGTTGACAATAGTGGAAATGGACAGGGTAAGTAACATAAGACCAGGTATCTTGGAATGAAGCTTTACAGAGATGAACTCAGAACGACTTCCTTTTTAAGTGTACTTTATAGAACTGTCATAATTACGCCTGAATTTTGAAGGCAGTTTTCCTTACACATGATATTGAGGTAGCAGACTGGTAAATATCATTTTTCTGTTTAGTTGTTTATGTTTTTCTGATTTGTGTCGATTCTGTCAGGAATTATGCTACTCTATTGGTATTAAACGATCGTTAAATCATTGCTTTTATTTTTATATAATGATACTATAAACATTGTATCTTATTCTTGTATTAATTGCTCCTTTTTGCATCTTCGTATTTTTTAAAGTGATTTTTAAAACATTTAAGTTCTATATCATGGCTATTTGAAATTTGTATTTGGTTTTAATGGTTTATAGTCATGAGCTTTTAAAAATAATCCAGATAGTCATTGGCCTCTTATAGAGAATATCGTTAACAGTATAATCATTCTTTTAGTTTAGTGCATGTAAGTACTGTCGCCTTACATTTTTCTTTGTTCTTTATTTCTTGTTTATAATGAGAACTCTAGAATCTGGGAGACAAGGTGAAAAGAGACAATTATATTGGCAGAGGAGCGTGGGAGGCACTAAAGTGTGCTGAGCACCTATTAAATTGTTTCTAAGGATTATCTGCTTCCTGCCTTCCCATTGACAGGAGATGGGAAGACCTTCTATTCAGAGGGTGTCCTGGGAGGTTCCTCAAAGATTATGAACCCTACTTCCTACCTGTTTGTTAAAACTTGATTCCCCTGTTTTTAAGGAACGTAAAAGAGTCACACCACAAACGTATCTACCAGAGAACAATTTCAAACCCACTTCTTGTCAAACTATCTGTAGCTCAGCTTGGTTGGAAACTACTTACTGATTGTCTGTATAACATACTGTTCACTCATCATTTCTATTAGAGCTTCTCAGTGGGGTGCTGCCTGTAGGTTACCAGTATGCTGAGATGTTGCTTCCCTCCAGTTCACGGCTAGCTGTGAGCAGTTTCCTCAAGCGTGCTGTACATAAATTGTTCCGTATGTGAATCCCACGTAGAAAAAGAGTGGTCTACCTTGCATCATAATATCCTGGGGTGATTATTACATATGAGGATTTTTTAAACCAGGTGTACAAGATCCTGTAAGAGCATGTTCTTTGGGATAGGTGGATTGAAGGGGAGTTTAGGTATCTGCATTTTGACAAGCTCCAAAGTCGAATGGTGACAAACTAAAGTTGTCAGTTGTTATTGTTGATCTAATGGAGCGAAAGATTAACGAGAGCAGTTTGGGACGTGCTCTGTTTGAGACAGAAATGTCTAACAGGCAGAATAGAGTGAACAGTATGCTGCTTGTATTTGAAGCCCTGAAAATGAGTGAAAATGCCCAGAGAGAGAAGGTAGAATAAGAGGAAAGGAACCTTTTGACCATAACCTGGAGAACGTGAGCATTAAAGGGGGAGGTTTGGGAAGGAGAGTCAGTAATGGATCCAGAGAAGGGCATGCAGAGAGGAAGGAGAAGCGATAGGGCTGGTACCTGGCTGGTGAGGTTTAGCGCCATGAAGACTGAAAAGTTTCCATGCCAGTTAGTGACAAGTGATTCATTAGTGTCCTTGGTGAGGGTGAGTGAGTGGGTAACAAAATCTAGATTTTCACTGAGTGAAGGAGTGGGAGGTGGGGCAGGCTGAGTGTGTGTAGCTCTTTGAAGAAATTTAGCTGTGAGGGGAAGAAGGGAGGATGATTGGGGATAACATAGGATAAAGAGAAGTGGGAAAAATTCAGTATGTCACATAGAGGATGTAACTGAGAGCAGGAATCCAGAGAAGACAGTCAGGTGGCATCAGGTGTGCCGGTGGAAGGCTTAAACTTAAAACAGGCATGAGAACTGTTTTCCCGGTGACGCAAGGCAAGAAGGTAGGAATGGATATGGACGAAGAGAAGTTTGCAGGTGGGTTGGGAAGTCGAAGCAGTAATGCCAGTTGACCCCTACTTTCTTTGAGGTGATCAGAGAATGAAGGGATGGCATTGGGCATCTTGAAATTGTTTTAGGTGACGCTGACTTGATACATAGAAGGATTCCTTGCTGATCTTGAGATCCCAGTTGAAATTAGATACAGCTCTTCTCCATTCAAGATTCAGACTCAAGAGAGATAATGACAGTGGGGATGAAAGAGAATCTGCCTGGTCCAGCTGAGATGACATGATAACCTGTGGCCTGGAGGGAGAGTTTCTTACAAGAATCAGAGTAGCAAACACATAAGGCTGACTGGAAAGGAGAGCCTACGTTTATCTTCCAGCTACTCAGCATTTATACGGGGCAACTGTCTCCTGCACAACTGCACACATGTGTCTGTGCCCACGCGTGAAGGGGGATTGCCACAGACACCTGCATACACACGTGTCTGTGCCCATGCACGGAGGGGGAGTGCCACGGGCACCTGCACACACACACGTGTCTGTGCCCACGCACGGAGGGAGAGTGCCGCGGGCACCTGCTGCTGCAGAGGCACTTTTAGGGCGCATGGACTCTTCGGGGCCGGGATCTCTGGGTGATACCCCTTTCTCTTGTCATTCAGTCATGACCATGTTCCAATATTCTGCTGCCTCTAGACTAAGTGGTACAGTCTGTGTTCACAACCTATGTATGGTTGTGCAGAAGAAGAAGAGATGGAAAAACTTTAAAAAATAAGAGGAAGAAGTAGGAAAAATTGTATGGTAGCATAAAGAAGTCGCGTTGGAGGCTACCTTCTTCTGTTTTGCAAGTGGTCACCCAGTAGTGTAACTGCTACTATTTGTTTTTCAACCTTGACCAGCCCTCTGTCTGGTTAGTGCTGGCAAGGCCAGGCTCCCCGTGAAGCCTCTAGGATCCTTCTTTGCCTCTTGCAGCTTCTGATCATTCCAAGCATTCTTTGGCTTGTACATTCATCACTGCAATCTGTGCCTCTGTTGTTACGTGAGCAGCTTCTCCTTTTATGTCTGTGTCTTCACATGGCATTCTCCCTCTGTCTCAGTTTTCTCTTCTAAGAATACTAGTAGAGTTCCGTCACACACCGCATTGACTGTGCTCTCATCTTAACTCGATTACATCTGCAAAGGCCCTATTTCCAAATGAAGTCACAGGTACTGGGGATTAGGACTTTGACATATCTTTTTGGAGGACAAAATTCAACTTGCAAACCTATCCTACCATTTCCCCCTCTTGTACCCAAGAGTAGACATTGTTAGTCGGAGGACTCTATCTAGGGAAGCTTTAGAATCTTTTTTAATATAATCTTTTAGGCAGCCACAACCAGCTGTAGAGTTGGCACTCTGATTAAATCCGTTAACAATCATACTAGTCCTTTGACAAAAAGGCTTGTTTTGATTGAGTTAAATTGTAACTACTGATACCAAATCAAGGCTTAGGGAAAAATGTAATATGTTAGTACATTTGCATATTGGTAAATGTAAAGCTACTTTTGAAAAGCTGTATGTTTTTAATAGTAAGTTCACTTTAGTTACATCTTCTATTGGCAGGTTGGGCTTTGTATATGAAGCCATACTGAATGCTTTTACTTTTTAGATTTCTCTTTTAGATATTAAAAAGTTTATTTCCAAAGAAATTTTGTTGCTAATGTTTGTTTTTTTTTCTTATATCTTTTAAAAAAATTTCTCTACAGATAAAATAATTGTGGGTAGCTTTATGGGATACCTACGAATCTTTAACCCCCATCCTGTAAAAACAGGAGATGGAGCTCAAGCTGAAGATTTGCTTCTAGAAGTGCATCTGCGAGATCCAATACTGCAAGTGGAAGTAGGAAAGTTTGTTTCGTAAGTACAGTCCACAAATTCTGGTATTTTATCTTACTTGGAGTACATCAGTCCCTCACTGTGTCACTTTTTTGGATTCTTCAAAATAAAAAAGACTGTCCACAAATTCAACATATTTTCTGGGTATTGTTACCTAGGTGTTCCTCATGTACTGAACATTTTTTTAAAAAAATATGGAAACCCATATGTTTAGGATAGAATCATTTAGAACTTTTTAAAATAGTGACAGATCTAAGATGTCTGATGGATCAGAAGCTTAAAAGAAAAGAGATAAGCTTTTTAAAATAACCAAATAAAGAAATATAAAGTATTTACTCACTTAAAACACTTAAATGTACAGGTTCTATAAATGTTTCTTTAAAGAATTAGACAAAGTAGCAGTAATGCTTTTGGTACATAAATTCGAAGCTTTAAATGAATTACTTATTTGGGGTAGAGAGGTCCTCAGTTTCTTAAGCCAGCTCAACCCCAGTAAGTCTTTCCCTTACAAGAGCTTTGTTTCTAAGAACTTTATACTTTTAAACCGAATTTATTTTAGAAAACCGTTTACTAGTTTCCATTTTGTTTAATATATCTGCTTTTTATATACTGATGATATTGCACATTTTATCTTAGTTTCATATGTGAAGAGTCTTAAAATTAAAATGGTATTTCTTTTTTTTAAAATATTAAATTTATTAGGGTGACATTGGTTAATAACATATAAGTTCTAAGGTACACATCTGTGTGTTCGCCACCCAGTCTTGTCTTCCTGTCACCATATATTTGAGCCCCTTTACCTTTTTTATCCTCTTTCCTTCTGATAAGCACCATACTGTTGTCTATGAGTTCGTTTGTTGCTTTGTTTTATGTCCCGCGTGTGAGTGAAGTCATATGGTTCTTGTCCTTTTCTGTCTGACTTGTTTCACTCAGCACGATACTCTAAAGATCATCCATGTTGTTGAAAATGGTAGTGTTTCATCCTTTCTGATGAAAGCCTGTGTTTCTTAATCATTTATTAAAGTATCCATTGTGAAAAGTTAAGGAGGCAGAGGTGGTTTTGTTTTCCTCAGCCTCTTTGTTCTGAGCCCCATTTTGCCATACAAGTGTGGTAGTACCTTGAGCTCTGGATTTTGGCTCACTCCATTTGCTTATCATAATTTATTCATCCAGCTGCTGTTTATTCAGGGCCCTGACTCCTACTAGTAAAACCTGAACAACTAACTGCTCCTGACCATGAACTCTCTTCTCATGAGATGCTTCATTCTGATGGGAAGCTGCTTCATGGGTACTGTAGGCCAGGGCACAAGATAGGACTTCCAGAGTGGATAGGGGAGATTTTATGACTGACATGGTTGGTAAATATCTACTCCTTCTAAAAGCTGGTGATGATTAGGTGCCCAATTGGGTACTTAGCTCACATTAGACATGATAGATTTCTAAAGTAAGGAGACAAAAGGATTTTTGCCTCAAAAGCATTTTTACCTTTTTGTTTTTTTAAAAAGGAAATGCTGTCACAATCATTGTGCAGTGTCCTGAGCGGGGCCTTCATCTCTGTGATCACTTGTTGGAAGGGAAGAGGTTAACAGTGAATGGATAGAATACTACTGTTAACTAGTACTGTCTCATTAATCTTATCTGTAAGACGTGATCTGCATTTTAGAGATAAGGTACCAAGCTAGAACTCAGAGCTTTGGGTCACAGAGCCAGGATTCAGCCCAGGTCTGTCCGATTCCACACTGTACTATCTTTTCATACATCTGTTCTTTTCCTGTGCATGATGGAAAAATTGTTTTGAATGTTCAGGGCACATATAAAAATTTTTTGAAGGTAATATTGATTATGGGATGTACATATTTGTATTTTCTGGTAGTAGAGCAAGTGGTATGTATACATTATAACAAAATTTTGCAGGTGTTATCTAATATAATTCTTATTTTGTAAAGAGTCTGTAGAACAGAGGTCATTCACTGGAGGCCTGCTTGCAGATGTGTTTTAAATTGAAAAGAGTTGCCAGCATTTAAGAACCAGATTTCACATAAAATCCCTGCATTCTGGCTTCTCTTGGAAAAAAGAAAAATGTGGAGATTCGGCCACAGGACCAGAGCTTAGTGGCCACCTTCTTAGTCTGGCCCCAGTCTCCTGTTGATCATGGCCATTTACACTCAGAGTCTTCAAGGGCCACTGGCTTGACCCTTGAAGACTTTGAATTTAGGACTTCTGCTTGATAGGGGCTGGGAAATGAATTGGTGACAGTGGCAGTTTTATTTCTATTTGAGACTTAGTCCAAACTGAAATGTTTTCAATATCTTTAATAAAATTTCAGAACTGTAATTGATAAATACCATTTAAATTCATTACTGTCATTTAATACTGATTAGTATTCTGTGATGTTTTATACTTTATAAAGTGCTTTCACGTAATTTTAATTTAATTGAAACCTCTTATTTTATTTTCCGAAAGGGGAAGTTGGCTCAGAGAGATTAAGTGACTTGCTCAAGGTCACAGGTTAATCAGCCAGAGAGCCAGGACCTGACTTGGATCTCTTTCTTGTGGGAGAGCACTCATGAAGGAGGCTTGATACAACTTTCTGGGAGGTTCCCATGGCTTCTATCTGAAGGCAGCTCCTTGAGCCTCTGGGATTGTCAAACTGGTGTTTGTAGTTACCTTTATTTTTCAACTTAGAATCTTATCTAATGAATTGTTACATTTACTCATGGTAGGCTATGGTCATAACTTCTTTAAAAAATTATTCTGCAGTTTTTTGGTTACATTTGAAACTAATATTTAAACTTTTAAAACTGTCCCCATTTTTCAGAGGTACTGAAATGCTTCATTTGGCTGTGTTGCATTCTAGAAAACTTTGTGTCTACTCTGTCTCAGGTAAGAAACATTTCTTTTTCTAGTGCAGAATTTGTATTAAAAATTGGTCTTAATATTATAAAAAAATAGATATTCTCTAATATTGACTTGACAGAGAACACAAACATCGATAGAGAGTTTTCTTATCTTGGTTAGCATTTTCTTATTGTTCATTCATTCTTTTAGGCACTTAGGCTTTTACATTTTCTGCTTGGTCTGCTATGCCCATGTATACTTAAATTTCTAGTAGAGGGTTTCTTGTAATCTCTTTCCTCCCAAGAATTGCTTCCAGCATTGCCTATGACCAATAGAGACCAATGCTGGGCACCTAGGACACTTGAGTCTTAAATATTCAATAACAACAACAAAATTCATTAGATGCTGAGTCATAGCCATTTAAAGTACATTTTCTTTGGTGAACCTCAAGTATTTTTTTTTTTTTACAGTTCCAATTTCTTGGCTTTTGGTTGTCTTCACTCAGCTAGACCTCAAGGCACTTATCTGAGTCTTAATCAGCTTTCATTCTCTGACACTGGTAGTTAAATGTAGTTCAGTTTTAGTATTTTGGTCCTTATTAAATGTCAAAGGTAACTTTAAAAATTTTGTTTTGGTTATTAGATAAATTTTAGTTCAAGTCAAGAGTTATTTTTGCGGATATCAATATTGGGGAAATTTTTTATAGGTACAAAAAAGCTAAAAGTCCAAGGATCTATTTCTTATTCAAAAGATACTCTCCTTTGGGTTTGTTGTAAATGTTAGCTTTTAGGATTTGTATGTCTCACACTCATTCTCTTGATTTGAGCTTTCTCTGTATTTTGCTTTCAATTTGAATAATGATTCATAATTACTGTCGCTGAGATGGATCTTCTTAGGTGATCTCTTTCTGGGGTGACCTGTTAGATTATTAAGGCAGGCTTGGTAACCTGGCATATGGTATATGGTGGGCATACTTGTTGAATGAGTGACTGAGCTAGTTTCTGGGTAGTACTGAGGCAATTGGTAGTGGCTTATTATTACTCTCTCTGTGTTATTTTTTTTTCCTCTTTTTTTTCCCTTCTCTGTTACCACTGTCATTTCCTTTTCCACTCTCTTTATACCAGAGGCCCCATAGAGTACCCCTCACTGTCATTATTAAACACTCTCATTGGTTTAACAGTAAGAGATGTTCCTCTTAGTGATAGGGCAAGTATTTAGTGTTCCAGAGTAAATGGAGAAAGTGTGACAGGCTACTTTATTGCATGAATCTAGTTCCTCTGTTTTCCATTGTAAGCCTGTTAACTGTGAGTGATATTTTACTAACCGGGCTACACTGGCCGTGGAAAAGGAAAACTTGCCTATAGTTAGCCTTGAACACTTCTTGGAGATTCGGCCCCTTCCGGAGGCTTCACAAAGATTCTAATAATAAGAGGGCAGGGGAGGGAAGTATCACAGAAACTAGAAGTTAGGCTCTTGGCCTTCCTTGGACCTGTTTTAACAGTGGCCCAGAAAGGCAGAAGCCTCTAGAGCAGTGGTCCCCAACCTTTTTGGCACCAGGGACCGGTGCTCCTATGAGAATCGAAGGTGGAGCTGAGGCGGTGATGCTAGCACTGGGGAGCGGCTGCAAATACAGACGAAGCTTCGTGGGCTTGCCCGCCGCTCACCTCCTGCTGTGTAGCCTGGTTCCTAACAGGCTGCAGACTGGTACTGACCCCTGCTGTAGAGTTCCATTCGGGAGTAGGGCATAGACTAGGGATAAATGTATGTTGATCAGAAAAGCCTACTGAAAGAAACTGGCGTGTTTGGTCACAACTTATTTATGAGACATGGGACATCTTCCTTCAAATTAGTGTTGAAAATGGAAGTTATTTGTCAGGGGAATGGTGATTTCATTGCTCTTTTATTCTTTGTTCATTATAAGCTTTGTGTTCTCTGGAGCTGAGGAGTTGTCCAAACTCCATTTCCCCCCACTTTGCTTCTCTTCTCTGTCTCTCATTTCTTCAGCCTCTTATAACATTTGTAGTCTGGCAATCTGTATATTTTTCCTGGCTTGGCTTAAATTGAGAAGCGGGGAAGTTAATGTTTTGCTTCTTTTGAAAATGTTTCTTGAGGTTCCAGATTGAACTTTTACCTAGCTTTTACTGTAACAGGGTAAGCATAAACATTTTCCAGTTTAAATAAAACCACCGAACTTGACACCCTTATCCCCAACTGCCCCCTCCCAAAATATTTTTTATTTTCTTTTATATACTGCGTGCTTCTAAAAAAGATTGGAGGTAAACTAGAGGAGACCTCCTGGACACACCAAACACCTACTGTGTGTCAGAGGCTGCCGTGCTGACTTTCTGGTGGGTGATATGTTACACAAGCATGCTTCGTATAGAGAAATAGCAGAGTCTTGCTGACCTGAGTCAGCCTTTCTTACCATTCTTGGGTAAAGGAAAAGCTTCACATGGCATCTCCGATTCCTTTCTGATGGGCTTCAGTTTCTGAATAAATGGTTACTCATGTGTGAGCTTAAGCCATACTAATTATATTGTCTTAAATATTCTTTTCCAAAAATTGTATACTTTTCAAAAAGCATTTACTAAGCATTCGACATATTTATAGGATTTTAATGTTTGCCATGAGAGGGCAAAAACGTGGTTCTTTACTTTTAACAGGCTTATATAATCTCATTTGGTTATTTAACTCAATGACTTAACTTACTCTGTAATGAGAATAAGATTTAGATCTTTACATCATTTGATTTTCTTAGCACTCAATCTAAAACTGTACCAAAAACTACCAAAAACTGTTGTCAAGGTGACCTTTGATTTTCCATAGAATTTTTTTTTGTTTAAATCAGATTTTGTTTAAATAAGGCCAACAGCATTACGTGTTCTAATAACCATTTCCTTTTTAATTAATGAAACTATATTAACTTTAGCTACATGTAGACTATAATTATATACATTTAACTATATTTGGTCTGTATATCCAAGGGCAAAACCCATGTAAGTAATTTTAATCTTACGTCACTGATGCATCTCTAGATAACAATGGCCAGAAATTTTAGATTTTCAGATTCTACCTTTATTCCAAGGTGTTTTTAAGGAAGATAAGTTGTCTTTTGTTCTCCACAGTTGCACTACTATGTTTTAAAGTGCTGTCACCTGAAATTTAAAAATTTGTGGAGCCTTTGCACAACACAGATACTAGTGTCATTTCATGCCAAGTTTGTTTAAATATCGACTGCTGACCTCTGTGTTCACTGCCCCGCCGGCTAGCAGGCGTGTGGAAGTACATTCCTTCTCAGAGGGGTCGATCTGGTTTTAAGTGTGGAATGAAATTTGTAATTTCTCTAGGGACAAACAGAATGTTTCTTTGAACTTCTTTTCCTAGTTTCTTGGAGGCTGGAACTCTCCTTAGGGTTAATGTTGTGTGTTATTTAGTGTCTCCCCGCCCCGCCCACATGGCTACTATGGTTGTGATTACCCCTTAGTGTCCCTGGACCTTACTGATTTTACTGCTGTTTAGATTCCAGAAAGCTTTCATCGCTGCTCAGGGTTTGCTGGCAAATTTGAGCCCTTCTCTTTGTTTTTTATTCTATTGGTCTGTGAAGTCTGTTGTTGTTAGCATTTTTGTGAGTGTAGATCTGAGTAGAAGTGATTCTCCTTCAAGAAATCCTCCTGTTAATTTTTCTCTTTCAACCCTCCACCTTCCGAATGAGGAGAAGTCCAGGCTGAGGAAGGTGGAGGTGGAAGTGACATATTCTTGATGTCGCTTTCTTTTGGGAGATTGTCATTGGCTTACCAAGATCCCTGAAAGTTGTTAAATGATGGACAACCAGATACCAGGATATATAGTGCTGGTTCCGAAGACCTATTCTAAGGACTGTGTCCTTTACCAGCTGTGTGATTTAGGGGGCAATTAAAAAAAAATTTTTTCTGAACTTAAGGTACCTCAATTCTAAAATGGAAATAGAAAGATTTATATTCTTATAACCTCAGGGCATGTTGGTTAATTTTTTTGGACCAAAAAAAAAAAAAAACCCCCAAAAAAAGCTCATGTATAAATATGGGGGTTATTTCATTTGCTTTATAGTATTTTAAGTTTTTCTTTAACTTTTGTACTTTTATTTATTTATTTTTTAACTTTTACTTATTTATGCTTTTAAATTAATGACAAAGATGCTTTTTTTATGGAAAAAGTTGCATTCTGAATCCTTTTTCTTTCAAACACCTCTTTTAACCATCATATTCTTGCCTGATCGCTGGGACGTCGCTCTCACTCTATTTCTAGAAAGCTTAACAACTGAGAGTAAAATGTGGATAAAGAATCTCTTCTGTTTTGGAGAGAACTAAAAAGTGATTGTAGCAATATGATCTATTAAATGCAGAGCAGGTAGATATATTTTTTGTTTTGAAGGGGATCCTTCTTGGCAGACTTCAAATAAAACATATTGTTCTGTCTACTTGCTGAGGGAAGCTTTAGAAGATCTCTCCGTTAAATTAGAATATAATGCCCCAGGGCTTGAGTATTTTGAGAATTGAGACAGAAAATTGAATTGCTTGAAAGTGTGGGGAATTTTTTTCTTAGACACTTTTGAGTCATGTCTTTGCTATGTTATTGGTTGTAAGTGCAAAGAACTTAACCTCATTTATTTCAGAACGGAAATTGGAGGGTTTTGTTGTTATTTAAATAATTATACGCTACTCAGACATAATGGAAATAGTAAACTGTAGCCCAGGGTGGTATTGCATCTAATGGTGTCTTCTTCCGGAGACTAAATTATTTTAACTGTGCTGACATTTTGTGTCATCACTATGCTAATTGTTTATAATATTATAATACATAAAGTTTTAGTACTTTGTCATTTTAAATTTCACTGAAATTGAATGACTTAGAATTGGTGTAGAGGATGAGAAGAAATTATTTTTTAACGTAAACAAATACAAAGCAATCCTTTTATTTCTTTCTCTTTAGGAACCTTGGGTAATGTGGAACATGGGAACCAATATCAGATCAAATTGATGTACGAACATAATCTTCAGAGAACAGCTTGCAATATGACTTATGGAACATTCGGTGATGTAAAAGGTAATTTGCAGTTAATCTTGAGTGTGTTATTGTAAGTACCTGAGTTAGAATACAGCAGGCCCTCAAATAACCTCATTTCATTCAATGTAGTTTCATTATAATGTTGGAGAGATGCTGTAGAAACTTAACTCTTGTTTATATCAGTTATCCTATGGTAAAATTGGTTTTATTATATTCCTGTCACTTAATGTCAAAGAACCTATCTATGATGTTAAGTGAGAAAGTGAAGATTTTTTATATTTGACCATATAAAAATGGAGGATTATGTGGTGTGTATCTCAGAGTTAAACATATTTTACTGAAAACTTTAAATACCCAAGCAAAATAATATTAAGAAAAATCTTTAAACATTGATTGTGTTTGATTTTCATCTGATCAGCATATTTGTATGATCTACAGAGACATTTCTAAAACTGCCTTTACTTCAGATTTTGTCTTCTATATGTGATCTGAACGAAATTGAGCTTTTTTTTTGTGGTGGGACGGTGTGCCTGGTGTTCTCAGGGGAAGAAGGGCTTGATCTCATTGCTGGGAGGCCTTGCTCTACCTGCTGTAGTCAAGGTGAAGCTGCAGACCCCTCTCTCTCCAGCACACCCACCCCCAGGCCACTGCTCAGGCTTGTGCAGGTTGTTTCTGCAGGAGGGCACTCAGGCCAGGGACAAGTGGAGGCTGAAATACAGACCTTGTCTTTCTTTCCAAGCCATGTGTCCTTGCCTGGAAGAATTCTCCCCAGAGGAAGGATGCCTTTTCTAAATGTCACAAAGGTGTCACCTTTGCCAAGTACTGGCTCAGTAAGGCCGAGTTCCTCTCACCTTGGGGGTATCTTTTTCTAATTAGCACAGGGCTGCCTGCAGTGCGCACACCCACCTCCCAGAGCTTCCAGGGTTGCTTGCTTGTGTAGACTGTTGCTGTCAGTGTGGGAGAGTTTTTGTTTAGAACCCAGTTCCTTTCTCTCCAGTGTGACAGGGCGATAGAGGAGCTCCTGCTGCTAAATTGAGGACATGAAGCCAGGTCTCAACACGTACCCGTGTGATTGTGTGTCTGTGTCTGTGTATGTGCATGTGGCATCTGCAGAGCATGTAACTAGGGATTTTTATAATACTTTAGCCTATTTTGGCTCATGTTTTTGTGAGTTTATTGTTTAACTATTATATTAAAAAGTAGGCTACCTGTGTTAGATTTTTCTTTAGTGACATGAAAAGTGACTTTATTTTGGAAGTTCTCTTTCTTTCATGTGAATGCAGTTTTTCATATAGAGAGGTAAATGCAAGGAGTAGATGAATCTGAGCATACCGATTCACAGTCAAGAATAGTTTGGGTAGTGAGGTGCAAATAAACGTTTTGTGTGATTAAAATGATATGATACAAAACTCTTGGCTGTATTATATAATTGCTTAACTTGGGTAGCAGACATGTTTAGATTACTTGAGGAATGTGGGAGATGTCTAGAGTTAGGGGAAGAGAGGATGGAAAGAGCTCGAATTTGATGAGAGGCTCACTTCTGTCAGCAAAATGCCCCCTCCCAGCCTTAGCTGTTAGAACTGATTTTCACTGTTCTTTAAAAAAAAATGCCTGACATGATTGGGGGACTTAGGGCTCATTTAATTAACTATTTTCAGCTCTCTTTTTCCTACTAAATTCGTAAAAGGCAAATTGCTAAATTCTGTATATCTATTCTGTATGTCTAAAGTCTAAAAAGTTATGATGTGAGAAAAAATGCTTTGGCTAAATGAAAGTAAGGTTGGTTTTGTTTGTTTTGGTAGCATCAGGACAATTCTTCAGATTACATGTCAAATGTCAAATGTTTTATAGATTGCACTATACTTTTAATTTTATTATCAGAACAAGTTAACCCAGTTAAAATAAAGTTTTAAATAAAAGTAAGTTTAAAAACTTTTGTGTGACATTTTTGCTGGATTTAATAATGTACTTCCAAAGTAATGAGAGTAGTTGATAGTTTTAAAAAGAACAGATAACTGTGTACTTATAGGATACTTTCTCTTGGTTCTTAAATTATGCTTTACATTTCAAAAGTACTTTTGAAAAAACGAGGTATTCTGACGTCTTTTACTTTTCTGCAGTTGAACAGAATATTTCAGTTTGAAACAGATGTCTGAATAGCAGAAGGAAATTTTCTACTTCATGGGTCTGAAACACTTACATAATGTTATTGAGGTATCTACAAGAAAACATGAAAAAAATAGTGGGGTGGAAAATTAGTAAAAATTAGCCATATTGGGAGGGTTGGTAGGGGGAATGGGGAGTTATTGTTAATGGATTTCTTTTTGGGATGATGGAATGTTTTCAAATTTGTTTGTAGCTATGGTCACATAGCTCTGTATATACACTAAAAACTATTGAGTTATGTACTCTAAAGGGGTGGTATGTAAATTATATCTCAATAAAACTGTTTAAAAATAGCAGAGTATTTTATTTCTACAATTAATGAGTTGGTTTTCTTTTAGTTTTCTAAAGGGTATGTTACATAGGCTGCCCAGAAAATGCCAAGAATTTGATATAATGGGAACCACATGAATCTTAAGGTTATAGGTAGCTATGCAAATGCGGATGAATACGATATTTCTTGTATTTTTGGCAACATAATCAGTTGAAGAAAAAAATAAATGACTGAAATACAGGGCATATGTGTTTATTAATGAGATTCTCATTTTCTTATTATTCTAAATAGCCAACTACTGTGTGCTACTCCATCTCCAGCCTGACAAAGCTGGGCTTGTAAAAAATCTCATCAATATAGAATCTGACAGGATCAGACAATAGTCTCTTGCTAATTAATATTTAATGGGCCTATGGATTTTTCCTTAGCAGCTGGAGTGCTAAATAATAGTCAATTAGCAAATGTGTTAATTAACTCTAATTACACAGCACATGAGCTTCTCCAAGGATTTTTCCTTTATGGATTTACACGTGAATGTTCTACCACTTTTCTTGAACACACCAGGCAACTAATTAATTGATAAATAATAATTCTTCTCTCTAAAACATGTATTTAAAGATACAATTCAGTTTAATGCTTGATAACTTAAAAAAATTACATT